ATTCTATTAACTTTTTATGACAAAATAGAGATTTTTCATTTGTAGGAATGAAAACATGATTAGGGTCAATGAAAGGGTATTCGTAATTAAAACATGTGGAAACAAAAGTCCAAAGAACGTAATTTGATGTTTGGTCAAGATTCTTAAATGGAATATTTGTGTAACATGTCGGAATGCTTCAATAAAACTTGATATCCTTCGATGTCATGTTTAAAAATAGACGACATTGCTAGCTGATTAATTTATATTTTTACTGTGATAACAAATCGCAGCTGTGCATTATCGAATGCAATAAATATAAAAATTCAATTTGACATATTTACGTTTACTTCCAGCAGCTTTTGCATTATGGTAATTTTCCTCCATACTTGATGTCATAAAAATAGCAGATATCATTGATATAACATATAAATTGAAAGATTATATCGCAAAACTGTAAGATATTTCACACAATAACTCAACTTTTATGATATTGCTATCGTTAAGGCAGTCAATTGGAAAAGTTTTTATGCTTCATTGCAATAACTTTTTATGAGCATACGGGAATACAATAGGTCAAGGTACTAGCCAGATAGTGATAATGACTTTTAATGATAATGGGATAAGTTTACTATGAATGGAACTAAGTCATTAGAAAAGGTTTATTAAATATTCTTACCACAGCTTTCTGTTAATTATTCAAAACTGAAAAGGTTATAAAGGTGCTCATTAGCAGATGGGAGATTTTTTTTTTAAAAAAACTTAACTTTCCTTACAAAAGTTTCCAATGTCAAGATGGTTCACAACACAAAGAGGCACTGAAATACCGGCATTTGTTACTGTACTGATGCCAGCATGAACCAAAAGTTCATCGCTTATTACAAAGTTACAACAGACTTTTAGCCGCTAGTTCTATATATAACATTTCATGCAACATTTTGATAGAAGTAATGGCTTCAACGTGATGAAAGTAAAATAATCTGATAATAATGGAAGGAATCTTCTTATGGAGCTCTCTAATGAGAATTGCAATTCATTTGAGTTTTTGATGAATTTTGAAGGTTGTTAACAAAGCAATGATTGAAAGAGTCTTGATAGGATTTAAGGCAATCTATTAAAGTATTTTTTAAAGCTGTTTGCAAGTGAAACTCAGGTTTTCAGTTTCATTTAAAATTAAACCTCGAAAAATAAGTTTAAACAAACTGTTGCCAACAACATCCTCGCCAATGTTATTAGAGCTGCTGGACATATTATATGCATTATACCTTGCCAGAAACTTTCATTGACAATTACTGAATAGTTCAGAAGAAGTTGCCATGCACGCATTTTGTCATCTTCTATTACAAAGTACAAATTTGCCTACTCTTAAACCTCAACCAGATCATTAGTTTGTTGTCACTTACAACCCGTAAGAATAAGAAATAAAAATGATGAGTAGGACATCATTATTACATCATTAGTTCCATCTTCATACGTTTATTTTCGACACATGACAAGTTGTCCTCAATATTGTCTTATCATATGAATACATCCATGTACTTCTCCTTAACCACCCAAAATGATGAGTGACACTTAATAAACATGATACTTTGTTGTTTTGTAATCTTGATGTTTAGTTCTTGTAAAAACTATTACATAATGGCCACATGTAGACAAATAATTTGTAAAGATTTAAGCCTAAACTTCTTGTTCCTTGAACTTTGCTTTAACTTTTTCTAACCAAAGAATTTTCATGCGGAATTTCATTTTTGGAAAGTGAAACGTTAAGACCCTTGTCAAGGCAAAAAGCTCTTTTCATTTGTATCAGTATCTTTCAGTATGCATGACTACATGGCTAACACATACTTTAGCAATGTTACATGATAAAATCCATGATTTATAGTTTCTTTTACAAGTTTTACTAGTTAATGGCTCATGCAATATGGAAAGTTTAAAGGAAATGGGAACTAACAGCAAAAGCATTAAGAGCTGATGACAGCAAAAACTGCAAAACAATGAACTGCCAAAAAGTTTTTTAGTGGCGCCAATAGTTGCAAAAAGCCACAAAAAATGCACATATGATGAACGTTTAGAGTGTGTATGAATGAATGAATGTGTGTACAGAAAGTAGATTTGTAGACATATAAGACTCACCATTACTGAAAACGGACATAGCTGACTGTTGGCGGTTGTCGCCACGTGCCGATAACAATTTATTTGCATTTGTATTGTTTCCATGCCCTGGTGCCATTCTGACTCAAACTAAGGATTTTCTTGTTTCTTTATTCACTTAAAAAATCCTTAAGATTTTCAATGTCAGAAGGAAAAAAATTTTTATTTTATTGCTTTTACTGTGCTTGGTCGGAATTACAAATGTTTATAGTTCATTCTCCAAATGATCAACACTGAATGAATACTGAACAGCAACTGAATTGCAGCTAGACTCTTTATAAAAAATGTGTAGCTCAACAGCAAATGGGTAACAAACAACAACAACAACAACAACTACTACAAATTGTCACTTTTGTCACATACAATATGAATGAAAAAAATTTCCCTCCTTTAATGACCTTTTTCCTTCTTCTTACTTCTTCTCTTATCTATTTACATTTAAATTGGAACAAAAACATTGTATGTGTCTCACATTCATGCATACACAACGCACAAAAGAGAATCTCTTCGATTCACGAACTGTACGCGATGTGAAAATGTTTTGGTGCCGATTTTTTTTGTGTTATAATAATTCGATGATCTGTTCTTTGACTTATTCACATATGACAAGTCCACAAACACACGATTCAATGACACACAAATGTATTATAATAACAAGTTTACTTTCAACTATATTGTACAGCTACAGTTGAAGCAATGAATGCTTTTTCCGGCAGAATTGCTAGAGTTTTCAGTGTACTATCACTCTATTTTCATTTCTACCAAGATATAGACGCGCTTGCGGGTTAGTAGAGTAGAAAAGCGATATTCAGCTTGCTACTTTTTTTTTGTTCAAGCCATAGACACCGAATATCGAGTACAATATCTTTTCGGGTTTTTTTAAAAATTTGTGAACGGTAGAGTACAGGATCCTGCAAGTGAATATTCATTCTTTGATTTATTGGTTATAGCAGTATGCTGAAAAGTTTGTGTGCATTGTGCAATCTTTGGCTACAATAATGCACTTTTTGGCTTTTATCTTCATTCGAATTTTATTTTTAATTTCTCTTCTTTTTCTTTTTCTGTGTGTTCCTGCTAGCTTGTGGATAATTAATTAAAATATTTTTTTCTCGTCGTCTATTGGAAATGAGGCATCATGAGAAGAGAAAGGAAGAAGATGAAGATGGAAAAAGGCAAAATGAGAAAAGCTTGTGGATGAAATTGCGGAAATATTGTGTGGGGTAAAAAAGCTACTTTGGCTCAACAGCGGAGACTCATAATTTTTATGAGAATGTTCTAACGGATATCCAGTGGGTAAATATGAACATATCAGCTTGTCAACTTGTTGATTTGCGAACGAAAAAAAAAATTGTTGATGTCAAATGTTTGTCCTCATTAATGCAAATATTTGACATTAGAATTAGGACAAAATTTTTTCCGTACTATATGTCCATGTCATCTTGTTTTATGTGAGCTCTAATGTAAGTTCAGGAGCATTTTCGATATTTACTTGGATGAAGATCAACAGTTTAGGATGTCAGTTAATTAAGACATGTTTTGTAGATGTAATGTAATATGTTGAGGAATTTTAGACATATATTGACAGATTACTGTATATAAGATAAGGCAGCAATTACAAACTATTAGTTTTCAGACGTAGTGAACTTGTTCTATTAACAGAGTATTAACGTATTAAAATATTGAACTTTAAATGATACCCCAATAAAAAGTTTCAAATTACATAATTATAGGTGTATTATCATGTGCTAGCTCTAATGTTGTTTAAACATGTTGCGTGTGATATAAATAAGTCGTTTCAATAGCAAAAATAAATTTGATGAGAACAATACACTTTTATAGATATGGATTAATGCCACCTAATTGACGTCGATTGATATTTGACTTATCAAATATCAAATGTTTACAAAGTAGTGTCAAGGGTAGCTTTACTTTAAAGAAGATAAACTTTTCAAAAAAAAATTTTTTTAAGAATAAAATAATTTAAATCATTCAATAAATTCCAAATCATTTCTAAAAAATGCTTTAAGGCAGAAATCCCAAGGAATAATCCCAATTTTCATACCAAGCTTAACAACCTTTGAGAATTCAATCCAATACCTTTGCAGAGAAAATAAAATATTTCGTCTGATAAAAAAATCTCATCTCAGACTTGTATATTCCCTCCAGGATGATTACTATGTGCAGTGGAAATTGCAAATATTTAGGCATTCAATTATAACAAAAGGGTCTATTGCAAGCCTAAGAGCGAAAGAGCATCTATGCTGCTTTGGTAATGTTAATTGCAAACTACATTTTATAAAATTTGAATATATTCATTTTTCATGCACTTAATTACAATTGTATACATTGTAGATGTAGACTCACAGCTCTGAGATTTAGATGTCTATGTACATAGAGAGCAATTGTATGAAGAAACTATATACATTGAAAATAGTGAAATTGAAACTAAGTGTAGGTGGAGTGTGCAATGACATTGACTACGAGGATGATAATAATGATTATAATGTACTGAATCTGTCTCATACAGAACAGAAAGAGATCTATGGATATATAAAGTTACACTCAGATAAAGGAATAGAATATAGATTTGACCTTCTTTGAGTGGAATTTATTTTCTTTTAAAAAACTGTCGAGCATAAAATTCCATCCTTTTGTATGAATGCAAAAGATGCTTCCGATAGTTCTGTTCATTGTTTCCTTTCTTTACCATTCATTATATATTGTCGCATGATTTAGGAGTTGGAACTCAGTATTTAAGGAAACCATTTATTATTACTGCATTGAAAGAGTGTTCACCCCCAAGTCAAGCAATTTTTTCTACTCTATTTCAGAAAATATGAGAGGAAAAGGAAAATATTGCATCGACTTACCTTGAACAGTTACAATACGTCGTCTATAATCATCATCTCTTAGATTCTGTATGCCATTTCTAGGTGGAATTGAAACTGTAGAAGACTCAGTTGAAGCAGCTACGTTCATAATGTAAATATTCTATCCAACTCTCGTTTTCTTTTATATGATTATAAAAGAAGGAATTTGTTGCGCTACCTAAAAACGAGAAAAGAGAAATGTACATACAGGAAAAAGAAAACTGAATCGAATTCCTTGAATTATTCAATTTCACAGTACATATACAAAATTCTTCCTGTCTCATATTATACATGCACTTAAGTATGTGAATGAAAAAGATATTTTAGTCGTAGAGCAGAAAGCCACAATGATTTAATGAACGAGTTGATTAAAATTTTCCATGCATAATCCACTTGAGTTGGAGTTTATGTGCATGAAAATTGCATTCTTTTGTGTATGGGATATAAATAGAAAAAGTTTTCTAACTGCTTCCTCCGTCCCCAGTTCCACTCACATATAAAACTTACTATAGTCATAAACATATTCATGTGTGTGATGGCAAGGCAAATTTTCAGCCTTTTTATTATTTAACAGAAAATTTCACTCGTTTGCTTGTTAAGCAAGCTATCCTGATGGCACTGATCTTACTGCTCTTGCTTTTTTATTCAGTATTATTATTATTATTTAAAAATAAAGAGATGGAATGTGTAGAGACACATTTATAGTTTGAAAAAAAGTAGGAAATATCACATATTTGCCAAGAGCTATTAAAATTGCTTTTTACAATTTTTGGCAAATTTCCATTTCGATAAATAGTTAAGGAAAGATAGACTTGAACGAGTGTTTGTATAAAGTTCCTCGTTAATACAAAACTAGCTAGACAAAAGCGAATGAAGATAGAAGTGACGGCTATTTTGGAAGCTGTTCATTTATAGGAAGTTGGTAAAATTAAAGATAGATATTTAAGTGTAATACCTATAATAGCTTAACTGAATATTAAAAATTCTAATCCTATTAACTTCATTCGAATTAATTGTCTAGAAACCTCAAACCGAGCAACATTATAAAAATCATATTTTCATACAGAATATTAATGAGCTTTTGTGAAGTTAGCTTCAGAATTAATAAATAAAAAGCTTCCTAACGTACATTGAAAACTTTTTATATGATTGTAGCTTGTGTCTCATGTATGTCATCCTTCATTACACAGTAATTTAAAAAAAATATTGTTGATACACAACATGCTTATACGTACCACACAAAGCTATTTATAAAATGCTTTGAATTATTTTTGTTCGCACAGAAAGCAAGCAAATTAAAAAGTTATTAATGACCGTACTTTCAATGCTCCAGCTCCTAAACAACTGTTTTCTTCGACTTCACTTAATAAACTGAAAAAAAACTTGTTCAATTTTTACATTGTGGTTTGGTTGATTGAAATACGATATGAAATTTTTTTCATTTTTAATTTTTTATAATTTCATATTCACACAAAATTTTCAATTTTTTTTACATAGCATTCATTCGCATTATTGTTTCCTAAGGCGGTCAATCTCATTAATTTTGCATGCTGGGATATAAAATAATCGAATGATGTGTCGCGTATTAAATTAATAAACTTTCTCTTATGAATAAATAAATCCTGACCTTCCTGAAATTTTTCTTCATGTTCTTCTTTGTTTTCAGCATAAATTGTTCAGCATGAATTTTTGATAATCGTGGAGGCTTATCAGCTGTCTTATCTAAAATGAAATATATTTTTTCGTTGTTCTTATTCTTATCGAATCTTTAGAGTTTTGTCTATTAGGGATTTTGTATTTAATGTTTAAGGAGGATTTTTGAAAACGGAAATGAAATGTTGCAACCGGAAATAAAGGATCAAATATCAGCTTATTACTTTAAAAGTTTTTAACTTTTTTAAATGAGGGTTCAGTGAATGCCAGTGAAAGATTCTCTTAAAGATATGATCCGAATCATCTCCCATGCACAATAATTCCCATAAAATCCAAAGAATCTTCTCCTCTTCATGCACACAAGCATGTATTTTTATACAATATACTTTCTTATTGTGAAGGTTATGTTTTGAGGCAGTAAGCATAATAAAAATATGCGTAGATGAAAATAGAAGACTGACATTCATTGTCAGTGGATGGAGGTTAAATGCGTAATAATAAATCAAGTATACAGTGAATGAATCCTTAACAAATAACGAAAACTTCCTCATCTTCCTTCCACCCACAACATTTCTCCATTCATTGTCTGTATATCTAAAGCGTAATTTATTTATTTCCAACGGGTAGATGACATATACTGAGTAAGGAACATAAAAAAGGAGAGCAGATGAAGTGAAATAATCATTCTTGAAATTGCTGTCGATTGTTAAACTTTCATACACAACAAAAAACTGATTCCTTTTTTCCCATGAAATTTTATTCATGCGATACTCAGTACTATACGAAAAAAAACTTTGTTTTTGCGACAAAAAGAATCTATTTTTAGAGCACAAGAAGAAATTTGGAAGACAAAAAAACTCTATGAAACAATAGAAAAACCATTTTCTAGTACGAGGATGGAGGAAAAAGAAGAAAAATTGAATAAACGTTTGTACAAAAAAATGGCAAGTAGAACATCTTGAAATGATAAAAATTGTGAGAGGAAAATTTAAAGGGGGAGCATCATAACCCTGAAAAATATTTCGAGGAAAGAAATTTTTCTCTCAACCTTTTTCTCTAATTCATTCTATTTTTATGATTATGTTTCCCTTTTCTTTTGTCTGATTTGCGCTGCTTAGCCACAGTTTACCGCATAGCACATTTATGAAATAGATGGAAAAATCTACATAATAATGTAAGTCGTAATATGTGCATATGATGTGCGGATATGGTGATAATAAAGCTATGAAAACCAAATGCTAGATTTAGTCACTTTTACAGATTTATATGAAATATATATTTTTTGTCATAAGTAAGAGGAACAAAAAAAGTCGTCGTCATATAAATCCGCCAGGTGCATTAAATTTATATTTATTTGCATGCTGATGCTGACGATTTTGTGCCCTAGTTTTCAATCCATTTCACACACACATTTCACCGATATTTTATCAACAATTTCGAGAAGATAAACTTTTGTTCAATAAAGTATGAAAACTGTTTTGTTGGTAGTTTATGTTCGATTTTGGAAACAGGAAATAAAAATGATGATGATTGAAAATTTATTTTTGAAACGTTTCCTTAAATAATTTAATGGTACAAAGAGTTGCTGAATTTTACATAAACTTTCAATATTTATTGATAGGGTTGAGTAAGGGTTGTTAACAATGGGTGGCAGTTATGGTTTAAATTATTTAAAGTTTCGTCCTTAATGTAGGATCAATAAACAGTTTGAAATTATTTGATTGCTTTTAGGTATTTATTTTGATATTTTAAATGTTCCATAAAACTTTAATGTTTGGAACTGAACCACAATTTATTAAAGTTTTCCTTGTCTTGCTTTGTGTCACAATCACCCTTTTCACTTCCAATAAGTAAATGGTATATGATTTATAGCTAAACATTTTCATGATTGAGTTCTGATGATAGCAAATTGGAGATGCTCTACGTGCAAATATTTAGTCATGTCATCAAATATTCAATAAATTTTGTTCTGTCCATAGCAAAGTGCTGAATATGGAATAAATTTAGAGATACAAAATGAGTTATATTTTATTATAGATGAACTTTTACTGTACCAATAATAATTTCCAAATCGAAGTCAACAGAATTTTCCTTAAAAATTACGGCACCTACAAAAAGTACTTATTGCCAAACTTCCAAAAACCGTGATTTAATCTAAATGAAGATGTTGTAATGTTTCCTAATTTCACCAGTTTAATGACTTTTCCGTCTCAATTTTTATGACATTTTCCTCAATAAAACATTATCTCCGATCATAACATTAAGCAAAAGCCACAAAGTTCCTGAAAAGCTCCACACTTAAAGCCCCTAAAGAAAAAGAAATCTCATTAAATTCAAATTATAAATTATGGAAAAGGAAACGAAAAAAAAAATCAAAATCAAATCAAACGAAATAAAGAGATCAAGTCATAATTTCAAATGGGAAATTGAACTGCGCAGACATTATCGTCGTCATCATCATAAAAATTAAATATAAATCACAGATAACTTTTTACCATCACCAGCAGGAAAAATAGCATAAAAATCTATACGGGATATATTTCTATAGTGTTTACATTTCAATCAGCATGATGCGATGTTTGAAATTGAAGGAATAGATAATATACCGTAAATTTCATCCGATGAATGTATTTATATGAGGATTGAAGAAAGTCTGTGAGTAAACGAGATTTTTGCATAAAATGCCACTTACATTTTTCCATCTCGAAAAGCGTTTGCATAAATTACAAAAATTAAGAGCACGAAAATGGAAATGGAAGATGGAAAATCGCAAGAAGATGAACATAATGACGATGATGAAGAGGAAAAAATTATATACACACATTATACAGCTTTTTGACTTCCACACAAAGCGAGAAAAGTTTTTTTATATGCTTGAAGCTTTTTGTGTGAATTTTTAAAGAGGGTGTTATGCTGGATTCTTGTGACCTTGAAAATATTCCTTTCCATTAAGATTAGAAGTAGGTTTAGGAAGGTTTGTTTTGGATTTAGAAAAAATTCACCCTCTTCCTCCCTATGGGTTTTAAAATTCATGAACTATCAAACTCATGCAACCAAAATACTCGGAAGTATAAAGCCGAATCCATCGATCTAATTTTTTTTTTAAATTTATGTTTATTTTTTAAAAGCAAATTCGTCAATATCTGGCAAGTTTGAAGTCTGAAGTCATCAAAAATTCACCCAAATTTTGAAAAAAATTAAAAAATTTTAATTGTTTTTTTTTTTTTGGAAATAGCATTAATTTATGTCTTTTACGGAAAATTATGTAGATATAGTTCAACTATTTAAATTTCCATTTACTGATCATCATCAGCATGAGCAGCAATAATAATAATATATTGTGCATCATTTTGTTTTGTTACCATTATGTCTGTATCAATATTTATCACGTGCATGTGGAAGAAACAATAAAAAACAGCAAAAAAGTCATTGAGATGAAAAGAAGAGCAGAAAACGTAATACAGAGAAAGAGAGAGAGTGAAGAGAAGAATTGAGAAGAAAAGGAAATTTGTTGTCGTCAAATAAACATTCAAAAAAATCCTGTTGATATAAATATATACATACGTACATCGGCACGAAGAAAAAAAGTTTTTTTTGATAGAAATAACATTCATCAGATTGAAAGGAATAAATAGTGAGTGAGAGAAAGAGAAATGATAACAACACCATTGGCATAATAAATTTGAGGGCAGGAAAAAAGATGAAACATCATCATGCTGCCACTGATGTTGCTGCTGATGCATATGCCTTAAAAGCCTAAAGGCAATTCATTCCGTCATCTAGATATTTTATATTCTTTTCCAGCTTTTTTTTTTGGCAACATTGTTCGTTTCCGAAAGAGCACACCGTTTAAAATATAAAAGCACACAAAGTTGAATCACATAACACCACAGAGTGTATAGGAATTGAACAGAAGAAAAAAAATGAAAAGAAAAAAAGTTTTTTCCTTCTTTTCTCTTGATGAAGAGAAAAACGCAAGCGCGGGAGCGAAAACATTTTCATTCTCGGCCAAGAAGAGCATATACACAGAAAAAAGCGTAACATTTTTTCCATTGCTCCGTCGTCGACAGCATAATCAAATTGTACAGTAATTTTCATTAGTGCACACTCGCATTTCGATAAAAGAGAATAACGGAGGACCTTATTTTTTCTTTTAGTGGTTTGCGGAACAAATAAATTTCCAAACTTACATACAAGCACTTAATACATATTATTTTATTTTTTTCCCTTCCATTCATATATTTCTATATATTTAACATCTCTTGCTGTGTGTCGTGTGTGCGATATCAAACCATTTCTGTGGCTGTTGTGTGTGGTGTTATATGCGAGAAAAAGCAGTTAAAAGAAATAATAATAGAAAAAAAGAGAATCATTTTTATTATTTTCTTTCATTCATTCCTTTATTTTCGTCTGTGCTTGTTATTATTTTTGTGCGAGCTTTGCATACGAAAGGATTCTTTTAGTGTAACTTTCCATTTCTATTCATCATAGGATATTTCAATCTAGCGAGACGAGTATATATAAAAAAAAATAAATAAAAAATATAAAAAAGACATAAGGAACAAGGAAGTGAATTGTTTAACATAAAGAATACATTAAGTCATAATAATAAGGAAACAAGTGCTGTGCTGTGTGTATGTTCATGCATATATGAGAAGAATGAAGAACAATTGTCAGTGAATTATTGTGGAAAAAATAAACTATTGTTCCTTGATAACAAAAAAAGAAGGAAGATAAAATCTCATTGACTTAATTCCTCTTTTACAGTTTCCATTTACTGAATAATAAATAAAAAAGCAATTCAAACTGAAAAGTCATAAATCCACAGTTTCATAAAAATTCTGTTGGAATATAAAACACAAAAAAAGCAGAAATTTTGTGTGTCTGTGTATTGTATAATGTTTGTCCTATTTTGTTCCAACTACACGCTTTTCAGCAATATCAGCAACATCCTCAGTGCTTCTCCGAGTACTGCATTTTGAAACGTCATTGAATATACATGCATGTATGCTATGTACATGTGCATATAAAATATAGAAAATAAGAAAAAGTGGAGACAAAAGGCACACAGCAAAAAAAAGAAAGACTTTCCTCAGCCCTCCCTCTCGACGACGAGCAGCCTCTTCAACGCTGCTGCATGCTTTGTACAATTATTGTGCAATATAAAAGAAAGAAATAATTTTCTAGAGTGCCGTTCATTGAACTAAAACTGAGCATTGAACATTGTTAAGGGACTAAAGCTAATTTTCAAAAAGGCAAGCACAAAGTGAGTGAGAAGTGAGGGAAATCCCCTTAGAGTGTGAGTGTGTGTAAGTGCTGCTGCACATTTTTAAAAAGAGGATAAAAAGAAAATTATTGTGGAAGAAAGAAAAGAAAGAAGGAAGAAAATTCTGCTGTTTTAAGCATTTCATTTTTTTAAAATAAGAAAGAAAGGAATCGTCGAATCCTTCTGTGCACAAGCTAATATCGTTCATACATAAAACTTTATCATCACAAAAGGAGAGAAAAAAAATCGCATATATAGGAAGAAGAAGGAAATGATGGAAATGACAGCAGGGTATCCGGGCCAATCGGGGCCTCTCCCAATTAAAATGATGGCTATATCTGATGTTGAAAATGCTCACAGACGTAACTCAAATCGTCATCCTCCAGTTTCAGCAACATTTTCAGCTGGACACGGAAGCTTGTATGGAAGCAATGGTAAGTTGAAAATTGACAATTTCACATCGTTTTGCTGTAGCACATCAAGCCATTTAAATCTGGGATTTTAATTAGTTCAGAAACTTAAATTGCAATAAACATAAATTTTAAAATTAAATTCCTTAAAACAACCCTCGATTATCCATTCCTTTCATTAAAACATTACTGCTGCTCCTTCATATCCATAACTTTTCCGTAACATATCTCTCTCACACTATCCTCCCACATGTCTCTCTACATATATTTATATATTGTATATAAAGCCATAATTTCTATTTCTCTTTTATCTCTTATATTTTATATATATTTATAGTGTATATACGTATAAAAGGTGTCTGTATAAGTTTCAGGCGAAAATTGGCACACGGCACTTACGTAAAAAGAGCAAGAAACTAATGTTTAAAAAATTCTTTCCTTTAACTTATGCAACAACAACCAAAAATCTCATCTTACTGAGCAAAAAATAACATTCTTTAAAAAATAACACAAAAAATCTTGTGTGTTCTTATAATCAGGGTTGGAAACGGCTGCTTGTTAATGATTGGCTTTTCTACTTTACTGCTTTCTTATATTTTCAGACTTATGGATCATTTGAGTAGGCAATCTCCTAAGAAATAAGTCCAAGCTCTCAAATTTGTATCGAAATTCTAGTCAATGAATTTCTAGAGTAACTAGCAGTAGATTCTTTAATTCAAATTCAAAAAGTATCAAATCGCCATTAGCAACACAAACTTTTCTAATAACAGCTATTTCTCAACCCTGATCGTCGCCTTTCTTATTTCATTATTGATTTCAAATTTTCTCCTCCCTTTTATTATACATTTATCTTTTTACTCAGCTGATGCAAATTCTTCTTCTTACATTCAATATTCCTTCTTCTTCTACTTCTTTAGTTTTTCCTTCCTTTTTAACAAATTTTTCTTTCTCTTCCTTTTTTGTGTATACATATTTTTATACATTTTAATGCTGTGTGTAGTGAAAGCAGCAGCTATATAATGATGATCATAATAATAATGAAGTTTTCAGCAGTCATAAAATTTTTTTTCTGTTCTGCTCGTCGTCAATATTTTATTGATACTTGTGAATGGCGCCAATACACGATGCGATATTTGCCAGTCGAGCTTCTCAATAGGATCAGCAGCAGAAGCTTTTTTTAATTTATATCATTCTGCTTATGCTATATGTATATAAATTACACATATAATAAATAAATTTTCATTAAAACTATCAAAGAAATGATAAATATAGATATGAACATATAATCACGCTATTATCAAGCTTCTGCATTAATGTTTCGCAAGTTGTGTTGTGTTCTTAGCGATTTTCCTCTTGGGATGTGGCAAATGTGCATTTCTTTTGTCTATCTGCTCTTTTGTTAACATAACATCTGCATAGCATTATACTTGAGAAAAGCAATACAACTAAATCAATGCGACTACAGATTATGATGTTAAAAATGAAATATGGTTTAAAAACTATAAATTGAAAGAAATATTTAACGTCTCCGTTTGAGTCTGAAAAATCTTTTCGACCTCATGCAAAGACCATTTTTCAAGCACGAGGCTGATGAAAGCATTTCACAGCTGGTCACATTTGTTGACAATAGTTTACTACAACAAACAATGAGCATGCTCACAGCATGAAATGGTTTAAACATTTTCTCAAATGCTTTATTTCTTGTAAGGATTTGAACAATTTCGTAGAGCCAAACAGACAAGCGACACATTCCAAAGTGGCCTCAGTTCCACGAAATATGAGAACTACTCCTAAAAGCTATATTCGATTCGAAAATTCGGAATTAAAATTCCTTGACTTTTAAACATTTGACAATCTCCCTCTTTGAGGAAAATGCGCTAAAGTTAATCCCGCGTGTGTGAGCGAGGATTTTCATTTTACAACCATTATTTTATTTATATGTACAATACTTTATCCATTATCAATTCTTATTTGGTTCTTTATCATCATACTTATGCCGTTATGTTAAATTTGCTTTTTCATATTTTTCATCCTTCTTTATATTTTCTTTCCTCCTCTTTTGCCATTTTTATTTTCCCATTTTCAAGCAATGCCAGAGAGCATATTGAGCAAGACGGAAAAAAATCGATAAACATAACATTAAGAGCCGTGACGAAAACTAAACTTAAATAAAAAGAAGAAAAAAATTTATAATGCAAAGTAAAATCGAGATTTGTGTGTACGTTCCATAATGCCATATACACAAAAGAGCATTAAAATTATGATTAGGATTCGTTCACTTATTACGTAACGCACTAGGGGGGGAGGGGGGGTCTAAGATTTTGTTACGGTTTGTTACAGGGGGAGGGGGGGGTCTAAATTTTGTTACGTAACTTTTCAAAAAATATATTTTTTTATAATTTTTTCTATATTAATTTTAAATTTTAAAGGAAGTATAATAAACATTTGATAAACAATTTAAATGAAAAAAATTATTGTTACGTTATTGGGGGGGGGAGGGGGGTCTAAGATTTTGTTACGTTTTGTTACAGGGGGGGAGGGGGGGTCTAAAAACTCGTTTTTTTGCGTTACGTAATAAGTGAACGAGCCCTTAAGTGAATTGTCAAATGATATATTGCTTGCTACTTTCTCTCGATCTCTCTTTCTCTTTTCCTCGTCTGCGACCTTTCATCAGTAGTTTCCAAAAAATTGCTTCTCCTCCTTCTTCCGAATCAAAGTAAAGAGCAAAAAACTTTTTTTTATTTCTTCCTTTTTTTCGTGATTCCACTTTAGTCTCGATGCTTTCATAGCCAAAAAAGATTTCTTTTTAAAAATAAAAATATGAAAAATGTTACTGCTGTTGTATTGAATTATATTTATTTCCTCTATGTGTACAATATCAGACATTTACATCTCATACTTTTCATAGTTCTCTATGCATTGTATTATAACAACAACAATAGCAGCAATAGCGTTGTCGTAAGAACTAATTTTAAGCGACATGTTTAGCATTTTCAGCAATACTTTGAATGAATTGTTATGGTTATGTGACTGGGTGATTTACTGACTTAACAGTTAGATTAGGAACTGAATATATTTCTTTCAAAAGTTGGCAGGGTGCTTTACTTACTGCAGAATATAATGGGATAACTTAAATTGCTTTTATTGTTGTGTTTTTACTTATGAAAAATAATTATCAAATTCAAAGCTTAGTTTATTTTGAGTTTTATAACATAATGAGGATTTAAGCGAATTAATGACATATGACCAAGGGTGAAGAACTGATAAATTTCATTTTGATCAATTTTGATAATTTTTGATTATTTCGTCAGTTCACATCTTTGATATTGAATGAAAAGTTTAAAATCAAGTTAGATAAATTAAAAATACCAGAATGAATTTTGATCCTAAATTGAACTTTCCTTCTTTATGACTCCCTAAAGATTTCCACATTCACAAAAAATTAAACATAATGTGAGAAAAGAAAATAATTCCAGTAAAAAGGCAGAACAATCTACTTTTGTTCTTATCAGAATTAATATTGTGTGTTTAATTTCAAGCCCCACTAGAAACAGACTAGCAGCAGAAGCAAAAAAAAAATAAAAAAAGGAAAAAGAGGAATAAGAAAGGTGTGAAATAATAATTATCATCTCCAGCATGATTTTATTTTTTTTTCCTTTATTCGAAGCGTAAATAAGGTTGATGTTTGTGTGTATGTGTGTGGGTCGATTTTAATAAGGGTTGAACACTACATACACGTGTATGAAAGTTTATAAAAAGCTTCACACATGAAGTAACTTATTCAATTTTCAATACTTTTATTTCAGAACAGAAAACATGTTTAAATGAGGAAAGCAAATAAATGTCAGAATATTTTTATTTTTGGCAATGTTTCCAGCATTGAGAGAATATAGTTCGTTATTAGGTCAATAACAATAAAGAGTCATAATTGATTTGGCTCAAGAGTTGATGTGGATTTAGATGGATGATACAGTTCTGAAATATTCAACCAAATTTTAGAGGCTAATTTAGTCCTAGACCTCTATTATATCCAAACATCACTTATTGAGGCATTTTAAGCTCAATAATGATAAAAATCCAAAACATAGCAAGGTATTAACATATTAATTCAAAACCCTCATCTCATCTCATCTCTTGTACTCTATTATGACTATCCAAATGATTAATCTAAAATCATCATTAAGTTTTTAAGTTCTAAAAATAAAACCCTTCAATTAATCATTCATGAGACGTGCAAAATAAACTTTTTTATATACATATTGAAATACTGTAATTGCAATGTCATTTGCTGGCAATTTATGAAAATGATGAAATGAGTTTTTTCAGGGTTGATCACAACAGAGCGATTAAAAAGCAGTCCAACAACATTTAATCACTTCACGTATGCGAAAATCGTGCATTAAAAAATTAAATTCAATGGAAAATTTCCATAAAATGATGTACATGAATTATTAAAACATTGATGAATTTTTAATAATCATAAAAATTATTTTTTCACGGCAAAATTAATTGAGTTTTAAAATCTAATGAATTTTTGAGCTGCATAATGAGTTCGACTTCTATATGAACTTACACCTGACGTCACAAATTTGCTTAATGTCACATTGACATAATCGAGCGTGAATTTTGCATAATACTGCATGCTTCTCTTATTTTATTCATGATAATGTAATGCAGTGCAATGAAATTTTACAGACGGCCTTTCTGTTGACTTTCATGTGCGACAAATATTTATTTTTTCATGCAAACATGAAAATTTCATTTGTAACATTCAAAAGGACAATTTATAAAAAAATAAAAAAGTCATTTAATAATTTATTGCAATTGTCAGAACGCTGAAAAAAATAATTTTATTATGCGAGATTTGGAAAGGTTTTAGAGTGGATCAAAACAGCTCAGTTTAATTTCAGATTTTGTTTCGCTCTGTTAATTTCATTATGGATTGATAAAATTTTACTATTCTCTGTGAAAACTATTTCGTTTCGGTCCGGAGCTAGGTATGTGTGGAGCATGATTGAACAAAT